CTTAGAGAGGGCTGAAAGCCCTATGAAGTGGTATATAAGTCTAACTGCTACTGCTATTGCTACTCCCATGGCTGGATTCACAAAACAGCTAGATTAAAAGCAAGTCCATGGTGGTTTAATTGGCCTCGCACCATGAGATAAGCGGCATATACATTAGATGAATAAATGACAAGCCAGCCAAGTGTGGTTTTTCAGTGAACAAAAGGAGGACTAGTTCGTGCAATAAGTAATATTGTTTGATTCTAATTCCTTCTGTCATTTTGTGAATGAGGAAGACAATTGCATGGTAAAACTGAACTTTTACAGCAGCCTTAATCTAATTTTCATCTTCCTGCAAGATAACAATAGAAGCTGTCATCACCTAGTTAGGGCGATGTCTATGTTTAGTTTAAAGGGTTGTGGTTATAGCATTTTTTTTAATCAGAGCTAAAGCCCAGGGAAAATAGGTGAGTCATATTAACTAGCCTTTTGTTTGTTCTGTAGGTTACCACCTTTATCACCTTTTCATACCAGGTTTGAATTAGAGCGTGGTTAGATTAAAAGTCTTCAGTCACAGATATGCAAAAAGGCAGTATTATGCTAAGACGCTGAGCTTGTCGATCAAAAAGGTTGGCAGTTTAGTAGTTCGAATCCCCCAGTGCCACCTAACGGAGTGAACTTCCGTTACTTGTCCCAGCTCTGCCAACCTAGTTCGAAAGTAGGTAAAAATGCAAGTAGAAAAATAGGAACCATCTTTGGTGGGAAGGGAAGAGTGTTCTGTGCGCCTTTGGCGTTCATTCCGGCCACATGACCACAGGGAAAGCGCTGACTCTTCGGCTTTGAAACAGAGATGAGCTCTGCCCCCTAGAGTTGGGAACGATAAGCACATATGTGCGAGGGGAACCTTTACCTTTACGGTGTGTTATTAAAAGAAGAGGAAAGGAGGAGGAAGAGGAGCAGATGGAGAAGAGATAAGGACAAGAGGAAAAAGAGGCGATGGAGAAGAAGAGAAGGACAAAAAAAGAAAAAGATGGAGGGGGAAGAAGAGGAGGAAAAAGAGAAGAGAGGATGAGCAGATGGAGAAAAAGAAAGGACAAGAGGAAAAGAAGAGAGGAGAGGGACGAAGGAGAGGGGGAAAAGAGATGGAGAAGAAAGAGGAGAGCAAGAGGAAAGAAGAACAACAACAACGGAGGCACCCAAAGGATGCCCCCCGTAACGGAGACCGTGACGCGATCGAGGCCGCCAGCGCCTTTCCCGAGCGGAGCGCGGCGCCTTTAAGCCGGGGACTCCGCCTCGGGTCAAGGCGTGTTTTCGGCGCCGCAGCTCCTGCTTGTCTCGGAGTCGCGCGGAGAGATCCTCGCGGGGAGCCGGCGAATCCCCCGGGCGCGGCTGGTTGCAGGTACCCCCCAATCTCCCCAACGTCTGGCGCGCTCGGAGTTGGAGCTCCGGACGTTTCCCAAGCAGGCGCCTCTCCCACTTTCTCCTGCTTCCTCCTCCTCGCACCAGCCCTTCGCTGCTGCCTTTTCAGTCCCGGATCTGGCGTGATCCGGAGAGCCTGGGCAGGAGGGTCTTTAGAAACGGAGCCCCCGCAGCGACCCGGTGGGATGGGGAGCCTTTCTTTCCAATGTGGAACGCTCTCCAAATCTGACTTTGCAGCAAAGCCGAGGGGGTTTTGTTGGGTGAATTTTGGCCGGGCTGACCCAAGTGAAGCTAAGCAGGTTGGGTAGGTGGGTGGAGGGGGGTGCACTCTGTGTAAGCTCAGAGATACAGGATCTTGCAGGGGGTTCTTAACCAACTTCCCAAGAACTTGAGTATTTCTGCCATGAAAGTCATTGCAGGAAATAGGTTTCAGCATTTTTATATACATACATACATACATACATACATACATACATACATACATACATACATACATACATACATACATACATACATNAGGCAAATCAATAGCACTTAGACTTATATACCACTTTATATTGCTTCACAGCCCTCTCTAAGCGGTTTACAGAGTCAGCATATTGCCCCCAACTATATGGGTCCTCTTTTTACCCACTTCAGAAGGATGGAAGGCTGAGTCAACCTTGAGCCTGGTGAGATTCGATCTGCCAAATTGCAGTCAGCTGGCAGTCAGCAGAAGTAGCCTGCAGTACTGCACTCTAACCACTGCGCCACTGCAGCTCATGTGCTTTGATTTGAGAAAATGTTTCCTCTTCTCTTTCTCTTTCTCTTTCTCTCTCTCGCTCTCCTTGGCTGGAGGTGGAACTACGGGATGTGGCTGACAGAGTAAATCTGGGATTGATCCCGACGTCGGAGGAAGGATGGCCAGTTGCTTGCCAGGTCTTGAGAAAGGATGTCGGAGGGGTCCTTCACATACACCAAAACGTGGAGGCTTTGCCCGGAAAGGCACTCAAGGTGTCCCAGCAACCAGAGGAGAATCAGTCACCTAAGCAGGGTCCCACCCAAGCAATATCCCACAGCCAAGAAGACCGAGTAGCTCTGAAGGACCATGATGTTCTCCAGAAGGTTGGACAATCATTCATGGCTTCAGCCAAACAAGAATGGCAGGGCTGGGCAGCGGTCACGGCGACACGGATCCAGAATTTGCTTCAGGACCTGGATAGGAAACCTTGGAAAACCCAAATCTTGCATCTTGAACATGTGAAATCGTACGCCCCTCATGTAGACCATCTAGTCTTGGATCTAGATTGCCGGCCACTTGAGTAGCATAGGGAGAATGTCTCCCCTCCGTTTCAGGGGATCTTGGAAGAAGCAGGGCATGAGTACCGCATTCTGGATCTTCTTCACGAGCTGCTCCCCACTTTTTGGGAACCTGAAGTTGATTATTGTGGCCCGCCAGCTGCCAGTGGAGCTGGAACTGGCAGCGGACTCGGATGATGAGGAGGTTGGGGAAGAACCTGGGCCAGTTCTGGAGTCTGGGGAAGGCTCTGATGGATGCTCAGCGTCAGACACAGAGATAGAGTCAGGGCCGTCCAGCATTTCCCAGCCAGAGAGGCAGCTGCCTTTGGAGTGAGAGATGAGTTAGGAGGAGGAACAGCTGGGGCCTGTTCCAGATGTGCGTATCTGCAGAGCAGTTAGGAGAGGTGAACAACGGAGGACAATGAGCTGGCTCGGGAAGCAAAATAAACGTGGACTCTGACTGGGAATAAATAGGAAAGGGGAGGGGTGGTTGTGGGAGACAACAGTTCATATTTCTGGAAAGTTTGCTCCTTGTGTGTTTCCTGCGACAAAGACTGCCTTGCCAGAACTGAGGTTTGTGTGTTTCTCTGACTTAATTTCCAGCCTGGGAGCTCACAGCCTTACATTTATCATAAGGAGCTGATAAGGACTATTGTTTCAGTCAACTTCTTGGCTGGATTTTCGGTTGGTAAATGCAGTTAATTCCCAATGTGTAAATAAAGAGGGGTTTTTCTTTGCGGGGAGTCTTGTTTCTTTCTTCTGTGAAGGCTGGGTCAGAATATTGGTGGCTGGAAATGTCACATAATTTTTAGGATTTAGTGAATGCGATCAGAACTTCAATGAATCGTTGAACCCTGGCAGGGACTGAACATAAGTAGGCGATAGAAGTGATTTGGGCAGCTAGTTGATGCCTGCTGGTTTCTACAAACTAAGCCAATCCTTCCAGCCTTCTTCCTGAGCTATACTGTTTGCTATAGTATAGAGTCTGCATCATATCAAATAACTTTTTGCTAGCTCAGTGGCTAAGATGCCGAGCTTGTCGATCAGAAAGGTTGGCAGTTTGGCGGTTCGAAAGCCTAGTGCCGTGTAACGGAGTGAGCTCCCATTACTTGTCCCAGCTTCTGCCATACTAGCAGTTCGAAAGCACGTAAAAAATGCAAGTAGAAACATAGGAACCACCTTTGGTGGGAAGGTAACAGCGTTCTGTGCGCCTTCGGTGTTTAGTCATGCTGGCCACATTTAGTCATGCCGGCCACATTTAGTCATGCCGGCCACATGACCACGGAGACGTCTTCGGACAGCGCTGGCTCTTTGGCTTTGAAATGGAAATGGAAACGTTCCCTAGAGTCGGGAACGGCTAGCACATAAGTGCGAGGGAAACCTTTACCTTTACTTACCATAGATTAACATGATTCTTTCCTACGGTCTCTGCAAAAGAAGATGGGAACGATTACAAACCATGTAAGCTAAATCCAGCCATTTGCACGAAAAACATTTGGTATTGCCATATTGGGTGACTAAGCCAGAATGATGCTTTTAAATTAAGATGCAAACCATTGGGTCTTGACTCCCTGCTGGAGCCGAGGTGGCGCAGTGGGTAGAGTGCAGTACTGCAGGCCACTTCAGCTGACTGCTATCTGCAGTTCAGCGGTTCAAATCTCACCGGCTCAAGGTTGACTCAGCCTTCCATCCTTCCGAGGTGGGTGAAATGAGGACCCAGACTGTGGGGGCGATATGCTGACTCTGTAAACCGCTTAGAGAGGGCTGAAAGCCCTATGAAGCGGTATTGCTATTGCTATTGCTAAGAGAAGAAAAATGAAAGTG